AAAGCAAAAATAATATTAGAATTTACTTTTTCTCAACCTTTTGCCAGCTAAACGCGGAAAACTCATTTCCCATAAGGCCTGCAGTGAGTGGGTGGAGGAAAATGCCACGCCGTCCGGCCAGCACCCGCGACTCACCGATTGCACTTTCACCAAGAAGGATGCGTCTTAGATGGGTCATCAAAGCGTACGCTGCCCCTCGAATTTAATCTTCTATCTGCTGAACTTGGTCCTGTCTCGATGCGACCCGCCGTTCTCGAGCTTTCAGCTTTCTCTCTCTAGAAAGCGGCGGAATGTTCGCTACTTTTTCTTTCCGTTGCTTGATTGGAGTACAAGACGACTTCCGAGATACCTCATCAAAGCGTACGCTACCCCTTATTTTTCGCGAGGAACATTTTTGCCTCCATTACTTGTTCCGTAGGACGAACGGTTCTTGAGATTTCGACTCCCCCTGGTTGCCTACCTCGCGGGGGCTCTTACTCCTCATACGATATTCATCGGCAACTTTGGCCCGTCCCGTACATTAAGAAACGTACAAATTTCGCCTATGTTTGACCCTGACGGATATTAAACCTGAGTCTGGGGTTAAAATAAATGTAGTTTTCGTCATCAGCACCCTCAAAAACATCAGGAACAATGCAAAAACTCGAATAAAAAGAATTTTCAAAATATTCCCCACTGGGATTTGAACCCGGGTCCAAACTTCTCCGATTCGCTCTAAACTGGCCCCATTCGTGTTTTCTCGTCACCCCCGATTCCAAAAATACCCCTACAAGCCCTTCTAGCTGCATCCGTTGCCGAGATCCTCCTTGACCTCATGTAGACCATCATGCACCTGCAGCAGCGGCCCCGGGGCTCGGATCGGGTTTGCTGCCACCAGGCGGTTCTTAGGGTCACCCAAGGAGGCTGCATACCAAATGTGGTCAAGATCGGACCGCGGGAAGTCCTCGGACGAACGAACGAACGGACGGACGAACGCACAGCAGGGATCATGCTATGCCCGTCGAATTTTTATGCACCTATCGCGACGTTTTTCATGTCGAAAGCGGTCATTCCGGCCACTGTGTGGCGGTATCTGTAGTGAACGAAACGTGATTTTTTCAGTCAGGAAAATTCGTTTGGACACGTAAGGAAAATATTTGGAACTCGGACTTTTTCTTGTCGAAAGCGGTCATTCCGCCCGATGTGCGTCGAGCCGCTCCAACATGATAACTGTCAATAACTGTTAAGGATAAAGGAGTAATAAGAACACATCGGATTGGCCTCATAGCAGATTTGCTAGTTCGAAACTGTTCTAATTACGCCACCTAGGGAACAAAAATAGTCCACCTCGATAATTTCGAGGAAACATGTTGAAAAATTGTGAAAAAACTCACTTAAGTATAAACAGTTACAGAACTACCAAATATCACGGAAATGTCAAATTTGACCAAAAGCGATAAAGTTTCATGGAATATTTTTACCGATTGTGTTGAAATAAACTCCTTTTAATCCGCTATGAGGCAAATCCGATTTCTTTTTATTACTCCTTTATCTTTTACATTAATTGGCAGTTATCATGTTGGACCGGCTCGGATTCAGCCATAGCTGCGCAAAAAAAAATATTGTAATTTCCACATTTTTAGGTGTTTCTTTGATTAATTTTAACGTTTTGTGCCCATGTACATTAGGAAATCCAGTTGTTCGGTTCTTTCGGCACCTTCTTAAAGCTAATTTGGGCCGGTGCGTCTATTCGCGGTCCTAGAAATCTGATCCGAAGATGGAAACATCCTGTAAGCTAAAAAAACAACGTTAAAATTAACTTTAAAATTCATTTTATGCCCCTGGCAGCTAGGCATACAGTCCGATCGTGGTTTTAGGCTGTGTTTTGGAACGTATTTCATCCGGCGCATCGAATGGTGGCACTACGAACGCGATCCGATGGCGGGAACACCCTCAAAACTGGCAAAAAAACTCTAAAACTTGGTAAAAAAAACCTGATTTTGGCGCCCCTGGATAGTAGGCAGTACGTTGAACGTAGTTCCACTAAACAGCAATGCATTCCACGCAGTATATGAAGGAAATGCGCGTAAAGAAGTCAAAAATCGGTTGAAAACTCGAGATTTGGCGCTGCTAACCGTGTATTGGTGCGTGTACCTCTTGAGACCAAATACTCAGGGGCGTTGAGCGGGAGGTAAATATTGTCCAAAAAAAGTTTGCTTTGCACCGATCTTTGTGTTTTGTGACCCTCTTTCAGAATCTGAACGGCGCTCATCGATATCTTTCATAAAACAAAAATTCGTGGGTCACCCTAGAGTATGTACCAATAGTAGAGAATGAGAGAAAAAGAAGTTTTGCCAAAATCCATGGGGAGCGTTCACAAATTACGTAAAGGCGATTTGGGGACTTTTTCACCCCCCTGTACCCCCATGTAAGGCCAAGTAAGGTTTACGAGACCCACCCCCCATTTACGTAAGGTTTTCGCCAATAATTCCCCAAAAAAACCGAAACGTTTTTTTTTACGGGTTTTGTGCATATGACGAGATAAGAGAGCGTAAGACAGCGGTTTTGAAGGCAGAAATCAATCAGATTTCTGATTAAAGATGGAACTGCTTTTATTGCAAAAGCATGGGTTGATAACTTATAATAAATAAAAGGGCATTTGGCCACAATAAAATCTTCGCAAACATAGGGCATATCAAAATAAATTCCCACTTTTAACCGCTTTTAACCCAATTTAGCGCGTTTCAGAAACCTTACATAAGGCTTGCTCTAGACCCCCCAACCCCCACATTGCCCGATTGCCCGCCCCCCCACCCCCTCAAGACCCTTACGTAATTTGTGAACGCTCCCATGATGACGTATTTTTAGAACGGTGAAATTTGTCAAATTTTCACCAAAATTCACCATTTTTACTACCCTTTAGACCTCCCAGATGGTTTTTAAACAACTTTTAATGCGATTCCCACATTCCCTAACCCTCAGGAACACCTTTAACATTTCACTAGTGTAAATTCATTCAGGATTTCCTGTATGATTTTCTCAATTCTGAATGGCATTCAGAAAATTCTGAGTGGTTTTTGAGTTCTGAATGGCATTCAGAAAATTCTGACTGGTTTTCTGAAGTCTGAATGCCACTCAGAAAATTTCTGAATGGTTCTCTGAAGTCTGAATGCCATTCAGAAATCTGAGTGTCACTCAGGGAATTCCTGAATGGTGTTGACTTATGAACGACACTCAGGCTGGGACACTCAGGAAACGTGCCATTCAGAAAATCTCTATGCCCATAAAACAGGAAGTTGACGGAATTTTTGGTTCAATTTTGGAAGGTGGCATGTCCTCGGCAATTGACAAGGGCAGTTTTTATTTCGTGGAAATCGGACCATATTTACCGGCATTTCAAAAGCCGAAGGGGAGCTATCGCAAAACGGACCTCAGATTCGAGTCGGACTTGATTTCGACTTCGGGAGGAAGTTCTTCCTTTGTTCGTATCAGTAATATTTTTGACTTTTTGGCAAAGTCAGAAAATTGCCACTCAGAAATGGTTCACTCAGAGAAAGCCACTCAGAAATAGGCCACTCAGGATACATCATTCAAAAAGGGTCACTCAGGAAAAATCACTCAGAGGTGCGCGAAAATGACTCAGGATTTGTCACTCAGACAATTTTCTGAGTTAATTTTCCTGAGTGACTTCTTGAATGAATTTACACCAGTGTTTTGAAAAAGAAAAAATTGTTTTCACTTTTCTAAAACTTTAAAACTATAAAACTGGTGCTGAAACTAAACCAAAGGAATTTTTTTTTAATTACGTGGTGAGTCAGGGGCTGATGCTAAATCTATTGATACCACTTAGGTTGAAATCCGAGGACCTCGATTCCAAACCGTCGTTGGATTTACAAAGAATGTCCCACTTCTGATCTATTCGACCAATAAAAACATCTGTTAGTCCTTTTAGGGGGGACATCACTCGAAAATGATCAAAAATTGCACCTTTTTTTATTAGTTAATATTGTAGACCATTCTTTTGTGCGTCAAATGCTGAAAACCGCATTCCGAAATTCAAAAAATTGCAGATTTAGGAGGTTGTGGGGCGCAATCATGCACAGAGGAAAAGCGCAGTTTCCCCAACTTTGATCGCGTTTTTCTCGGAACATGAAAGTGCAAACGGTTGCAGGCGTCTAGGCCGCAGTTTTTGAGCTACAGCGGGGAGATTTAGCATAGAATCTCCTACGACATGCTGCAATGGTGGGTAGCAAAGAAATTTGCATTGGTCAATTTTTTTTAAAGTTCAAAATTAAACTGTTTTCACCAAAAAAATTGAACATTTTTTGGTATGTTACAAAAAAAAACTTTAAACGATTTTTTAAATGTGAATGAGGTACCCACCATAGCCAGACATTTTAGGAAGGCAGTCATCAAATTTCGTTGTCCTAGGTCAAACCGTTTGGCGTCCAGCGCTGCAACAGTGCGAAATGGCCTAACCTAACACTCAAAAATGTATTTTCAACGAAAGCGCTGTACTGCCCTGGCGGATTGACTTTGTGTTTTTTTATTCCTTATCTGTTAGAATATGAACAATTGTTTTCTTCCCGTTTGGTTTTTATGACTTTTTTTTACAAAAGCACTGTTTTTTGAGTGATGTCCCCCCTTAACTTCTCTGAAAACAAAACAAAAAATCGTAGATTGTTCCCGTGACAACCAGGTGTGCTGGTATAGATTTCACAAAAGTATGTTTTTCAATTCCTCTTATTGTAAAGTATGTTGGTTCTACTGACTGGATCCGGTTTAGTCAGTGTTGTATCAGTGGTTTATGTGAAGTATTGATGAATAAACATAAACGTAATTGGATTTTTATCTTTTCTTAAATTCTTCAACCATCTTTAAGTAATCAGACATTTAAAAAAGGCGGCAATGTCTGTTTAAGTTGGTCTTTTTCTGTTTGTTTCAGAAAAAGCGCAATTCTTTCATAAATAGGATTTTAGGACTTTAGTACCGCTAAACCAACCGTATGGGGTCGTACTTACTTCACATGCGTCTTTCTTTTCTTCGCCTCCAGCACAAATGAAACTGCCATGGAGTTGGTAGGCCATGCCCAGCGGAGTTCTTTTAAGCTTGGCATCACATTCATGATGTGGTAACACTTCCAAGTTAACGGCCTTGAGGACGTCTGATAATGGTCCGTCTGCATTGGCTGCTGTGGCTGAGAAAAAAAACAACGTTTGTCATTACTGTTCTTTGCGGGGACGGAGACATCATCTTAAGAAATTATCGGAATTTTAAGGATAGTTGTAAATGTTTTGACGGCGATGAATTCTTCGGAACACTAGACATCTTTCCAAGAAATTTGGAATTTTTTTTTTCAGTTTTTACGTTTTGTTCCAACGATCCATGCTCCTGGACACTGTCTACTCAATTTCTATCTTCCATACATACAAACAAGGTAGGTTTACGCCAGACCGCGTCTTGTCGTAACAGGCTGATCGATGTCTCGCTGCCTGTTTCTCCAATCCGCGCCTGGCGTACCTACCTTGGCCTGCGGCGCTAGCCTGCCTTCGGCAGGCAAGGGCTTGTCCATCGTCGATTTTTCTAACTTGTTGCTTGCTGGGGGGCGGAGCCCCCCAGACCCCCCTTCATTTTAGATAAAGTTGCTTTATCTACAGATCTTGACCCTTGTAACTTTTTAACTTGTCGAGGCTGGGGGAGGAGCCCCCCCCAAACCCCCCTTTCTCCGAAACGGAAGCAATCTGCCTGCAGAAAACTCGATTTTTCGCCGTTTTTTAGGTGTTTTTCGGCTGTAAAAACTGAACCAATTGAGCTAGGATAGTGAATTTTCGCGTGTGCCGAGCCAAGGACATACCCAAAAAGCGTGCAAAATCTCACCGAGATCGGCCGAGCCGTTCAGGAGGAGTAGTGCGGACACACGCGCACGCACACACGCACGCACGCACGCAGACAGGAAAAACGTTTCAACCCCACCTGAGTAACGGGCTTCGCTATCGCTTAGCCAACAAATCGGATCCAATAGCAGAGGTTTTGTCATGCTATCACGACGCACTTAATGGATGGCCTAAAATGATGAAATACGAGTAGCTTCCATTTACCTGCATCTTGTCCCCAGCCGGTAACAATACAGTGTTTGTTTTCAAAGTTGTCAGTTGCTTGAGGTAAACAGGCAGAAGCGATATGACGGTTGCTGGGCATGGGCTCATTCAACATCAGCAGAGCCACGTTGTAAAATAATTCGCTTTTGTCAAATTTGGGATGGATAGTAATTTTCTTTACGCCTCTATCCTGGTGGTTGTAGGGCTCGATCTCTGACTTAAAGTCCCACTCGCCAGCCCTGACGGTTAAGTCCGAAGCAGTTAGGCTGAAAATAAAAAAAAGTATTTAAAGACAGGGAAAAGGAAGTTTTAGGAGATTCACGAATTAACTGTCGCCAGAGACATCTCTGGAAACTACGTTTTGTTGACTAAGCTTCGCTTTTCTCGTAGCACGCTGGCGCGCTGCAGGTTCTGGCAGCCTGGGAAGGGACAGGGGCTTGCCAATGTAAAGATTGTGATGTAAAGGAGATTTTCTGTCACACAGTGAAGCTTGCAGCAGGTAACCGTGGTGAGAGGAGACGCGCAGCACAGTGGGCGGAAACACCACTTTCGACGCGAAAAAGTCCAAATGGAATAACAGGAAAAGTAGCGATATAAATCGGCAACTTTGGCCCGTCCCGTACATTTAGAAATGTGTAAATTTTGCTAATGTTTAACCCTAACGGGATTTGAACCTCAGTTTGGGGTCTAAATATATGTCATTTTCGTCATCAGCACCTTCAAAAACATCAAAAACAATGCAAAAACTCGAGTAAAAAGACTGTTGCAAATATACCCCACTGGGATTTGAACCCGGGTCCAAACTTCTCCGATTCACTACAAACTGGCACCGTTGGTTTTTTCTCGTCGCCCTGATTGCAAAAATACACTACCCCTTCATGTCCTGCTAGCTTTATCAGTTGCCGAAATCCCATGCGACCCGATTCGACCCCATGTAGACCATGATGCACCTGCAGCAGCGCCTCCGGGGCTCGGATCGGATTTGCTGCCACCGGGCGGTTTTTAGGGTCACCCAAGGAGGCTGCATATAAAATTTGGTCAAGATCGGACCACGGGAAGTCCTCGGACGGACGGACGAACGAACGAACGAACGAACGAACGAACGGACGCACAGCAAGGATCATACTTTATGCCCGTCCCTGCGTCATTTTTTTACAAACGGGACGGGCCAAAAAGATTTTTCAAAATATACCCCACTGGGATTTGAACCCGGGTCCAAACTTCTCCGATTTGCTTGAATCTGGCACCATTGGTTTTTTCTCGTCGCCCCGATTCTAACAATACCCCTATATGCCCTGCTAGCTGTATCCGTTGCCGAAATCCTCCTCGACCCCATGTAGACCATGATGCACCTGCAGCAGCGCCCCCGGGGCTCGGATCGGATTTGCTGCAACCGGGTGGTTCTTAGGGTCTCCCAAGGAGGCTGCATACCAAATTTGTTTTTTCCATTCGATTCCAAATTTTATGGGAAAATTGGAAAAAATCCAAAAAGTCGAGAATTTCTCACCGTTTCCGAGCAAACCTACTTAATCTTCAAAAAAGGGGACCAAATTCCTCACCGTTTCCGAGCAAACCCACTCAATCTTCGAAAAAGGGGACCGACCGACTAAAAATTAGGGGTGGTCGAATGTACACTTTTTTCGAAATCTCAAAAGTTAGATGGCGCATTTTGTAGTATTTTTTCTGCTGATTCCGAATATGTACTGGTTTTGAGAAAGGAGTCAAACTGAGGGCGCTACCAGCCTTTTAAGTTTGAAAAATGGCTTAAAATGCGAACTTTTAAAATTTACTTTTTCTCCGTTTGAAAATCACAGTACATTTCGGAATCGGCAGAGAGAATGCAAAAGATGCGCCATCTTACTTTTGCATAATTTTTGCAAAATGGATATTTTGACGAAAATAGTCTTTTTGACCACCCCTTAAGAGCGAACTTTTCTCAAAATGTCGATTTTGCAAAATTTATGCAAAAATTAGATTGCGCATTTTGTTGCATTCTCTCTGCCGATTCCGAAAATGTACTGTGATTTTCAAACGGAGAAAAAGTAAAATTTTAAAAGTTTGCATTTTGAGCCATTTTTCAAAACTTAAAAGGCTGGTAGCGCCCTCAGTTTTATCCTTTCTCAAAACAAGTACCATATTCGGAATCAGCAGAAACATACTACAAAATGCGCCATCTAACTTTTGAGATTTCGAAAAAAGTGTACATTCGACCACCCCTACTAAAAATTTTTATTCGCCCTATCGGTAGGTCTGGGTGAGACATTTCCAAAACTGTGCCGCAATCTGGTCCCCGTCACCGGCCACATCCTAAAAACGATATAAAAATATATAAAAATAGGCCTAAATTCAACAAAATCCACTCAATCTTCAAAAAAGGGGACCGACCGACTGAAAATTTTTATTCGCCCTATCGGTAGGTCTGGTCAAGACATTTCCAAAACTGTGCCGCAATCTAGTCCCCGTCACCGGCAACGATCTAAAAACAATTTAAAAATTTATAAAAATAAACCTTAATTCAACAAAATCCACTCAATCTTCTTAAAAGGGGACCGACCGATTAAAAATTTTATTCGCCCTATCGGTAGGTCCGGTCGAGACATTTCCGTAACTGTGCCACAACCGCCTACCCGTCACCGGCAACATCCTCAAAAACGATTACATAGGTCTAAATTCAACAAAATCCACTCAAGCTTTAAAAAAAAGGGACCGACCGACTAAAATTTTTTATTCGCCCCATTGGTAGGTCTGGTCGAGACATTTCCGAAACTGTGCCGCAATCGGGTCCCCGTCACCGGCAACATCTTCAAAAACGATTATATAGGCCTAAATTCAACAAAATCTACTCAACCTTCAAAAAAAAGGGACCGACCGACTAAAAATTTTTGATCGCCCCATCGGTAGGTCTGGTCGAGACATTTCCGAAACTGTGCCGTAATCGGGTCCATGTCACCGGCAACATCCTCAAAAACAATTAAATAGGCCTAAATTCAACAAAATCTACTCTATCTTCAAAACAGGGGACCGACCGACTAAAAATTTTTGTTCGCCCCATCGGTAGGTCTGGTCGAGACATTTCTGAAACTGTGCCGCAATCGGGTCCTCGTCACCGGCAACGTCCTCAAAAACGATAAAACAGGCCTAAATTCTACAAAATCCACTCTATTTTCAAAGAAGGGGACTGACCGACTAAATATTTTTATTCGCCCCATCGGTAGGTCTGGTCGAGACATTTCCGAAACTGTGCCGCAATCGGGTTCCTGTCACCGGCAACATCCTCAAAAACGATAAAATAGGCCTAAATTTAACAAAATCCACTTAATCTTCAAAAAAGGGGACCGACCGACTAAAAATTTTTATTCGCCTTATCGGTAGGTCAAGTCGAGACATTTCAGAAACGGTGCCGCAATCGGGTCCCCGTCACCGGCAACATACTCAAAATCAATCATCAATTGTCATCAAGAACCTATAAAGCCCCAAAATCCGACAAACTGACTCCTTCACTCATCAATCAAGAACCTATATAGCCCCAATCCGACTGACTGACTCACTGACTGACTCACTCACTCACTCATAGAAATGTTTGGGGTCAAGAAGTGGTCCTAGAGACCTGCGGTTTTTTCAATTCGATTCCAAATTTTATGGGAAAATTGAGAAAAATCTCAAAAAATGAAAATTTCTCACTGTTTTCGAGCAAACCTACTCAATCTTCTAAGAAGGGGACCGAATGACTAAAAATTTTTATTCGCCCCATCGTTAGGTCTGGTCGAGAATTTCCGAAACTGTGCCGTAATCAAGACCCCGCCACCGGGAATTGGGCAATCATCATCAAGAATCTATATAGCCCCATTCCGACTGACTCAGAATACGAAAGTCTCAAGGAGACCCGCCGATCAGCTTCGGTGTTCTTATGGGAACCGGGCCTTCATCCGACGCTCCCTGCTGCGCAATTCGACAGATTAGTGGGTTCGTATTAGGCTGGCCCACCCGAAGTGCGCGCGATTTCTGTGGTACAGTGAGAGTCGAGATTCAGAGGCCTTACCTCAGAGGGGTCACATTGGGTATTTGAACCCGCGACCCCGAGTGCCGACTCCAGTCAACTCCTCTACCCTGACCGCTCAGCCACTGAACCAGCTTGTCGGTGACGATGTCGCAACTCCTCTCGAGCTGCCGTTCGAGAAATCTGGTCCCGAAAAAATGGTTTTTTGAGCGGTCTCGAGCCCGGGACCTGCCGCTTCCCACATCATGCTCTTAACCACTGAGCCACCGGGACGCCATGGCACCCGCATTGCCAGCGCCGGTACCCAATATTCTCTGGATATACCTCCCCAAGCAATTGGTGGCCAAAATAATTGTATATATTACCGGTCCCGAACCCGGGACCCGCGCCGCTTCCCAAAACGTGCTCTTAACCACTGAGCTACCGAAGGTTCATGGTGCCCGCACTGCTAGCGCTGGTTCTCAATCCTCTCCGAATAAACCTCGTCAAGAAGTCGGTTGCCCCTGCCGAAAAATATGTTCATGGTACTAGTTTTGAACCCGAGACCTGCCAGTCAGGAACGCAGCACTCTAACCATGGCACTACCAGGTTGCTATGCACGCCACTTACCAAGCGCCAAACTTCAATAGCCACCCATCTTGCTTGATGCTGGACAAATAATAACTTCGGCGATAGGGTGAGCGCTGTGCGTAGCAACGTAGTAGCGCAGTGGTTAGAGTGCTGCGTTCCTGACTGGCAGGTCTCGGGTTCGAGACTAGTACCATGAGCATCTTTTTCGGCAGAGGCAACCGACTTCTTGACGAGGTTTATTCGGAGAGGATTGAGTACTAGCGCTGGCAGTGCGGGCACCATGATCCTCCGGCAGCTCAGTGGTTAGGAGCACGTTGTGGAAAGCGGCAGGTCCCGGGTTCGGGACCGGTGGTATACACAATTTTTTCGGCCACCAAATGCTTAGGGAGGTATATCCAGAGAAGATTGGGTACCGGCGCTTGCAGGGCGGGTGCAATGGCGACCCGGTGGCTCAGTGGTTAAGAGCATGATGTGGGAAGCGGCAGGTCCCGGGTTCGGAACCAGTAGTGTACACTTTTTTTCGGCGACCAATTGCTTGGGGAGGTATATCCAGAGAAGATTGAGCACCAGCGCAGGCAGGGCGGGTGCTATGGCGTCCCGGTGGCCCAGTGGTTAAGAGCATGATGTGGGAAGCGGCAGGTCCTGGGTTCGAGACCGCTCAAAGTACCATTTTTTCGGGACCACATTTCTCGAACGGCA